CGCATGTCTCCTTGGCCTTCGGCAGTGTGCTGTAGCTGTTGACAACCATAACTTACTTGACTTAGTCTTCTCTAATCTCACCGATCTAAAGCCTGCTCCTTCTTACTCTGACTTGGTCAAGCCTGATCTATATCACCCTCCCTTAATTATTGATGTCTACCTTCCACATATTACCTATAATCCTGATTATAAGTTCAGCCATCGAAAATTCGCCGCCAGCAATTATACTCTGCTTTACAACACCCTATCTGCGTGTGATGGTCAGGAGTATATAGAGCTACTTCCGCTGATGATGCAGTTGCCAGCCTAAATGCTACTGTTCAAGCTGCCATGGAAGAGGCAATTCCTCGTTGCCCTACTCGCAAATCTAAATTCCCTTTCTGGTACTCTAGTTCCTTAAGGTACTACATTGGTAAGAAAAATTACTTTCACCATCCCTTTAAAAAGAAACAAACTGATTACTATTATGATAAATTCATTTTCTATCGTAAGCTTGTTAAAAGCACTATCAAAACCGACAGGCTTCGATGGCTGAAGTCAATAGATAACAACCCGAAATCACAACCTCAGCATCTCTGGAAATATGTGTCTTCTTTCAGGAAACATACTTTAGGTTACATTCAGCTTCAAGTTGATGGTGTACACTTAGTTGAACCTACTGCAGTGGCTGATACCTTTGCCAAACATTTTCAACCCCTCTATAATACCCATTGTCCTATAGACCTTCCCCCTCTTTCGCAACCTACTGAATTCCTGTCTCTTGCACCTATTTCTGATGCGGATGTCTGCAAGGCCATTAAGAGACTAAAACCCTCTAAATCTGTCGGACCGGATGATATCCCGGGGTTTGTCATAAAAGGCTGTTCGGCAATTTTTATTCCTGTACTTAGGCATATATTTAACTTGAGCCTGTCTCAGCAGCAATTCCCTACTGCATGGAAGGAAGCGACTATTGTGCCTGTATTCGAAAGAGGCAATCCTGCCTGTGTGAGTAACTACAGACCCATTACCCTTGTCAACAACTTCTCTAAGTTCCTTGAATTCATTATTCACGATCATATTTCGCATTACATTAAACTTCATCCCAACCAGCATGGCTTCACCAAATCCAAATCCACAGCCACTAATCTGGTATCCTTAGATATTATGACCCCTGTTGTCTGCAGTCAGCGTCAGGCTGATGCTGTCTATTTTGATTTTTCTAGTGCCTTTGACCTCGTGCCCCATACTTTGCTCGTGCATAAGCTCAGCTCCCTTGGATTTTCTGATGGATACCTTAACTGGATTGGCAGTTACCCAGCTAACAGGAGATCTCGGGTCCGTGTGTCTGACACTCTCTCCCGGCCTCTTAGAGTAACTTCCGGGGTGTCGCAAGGCTCTGTCCTGGGGCCTCTTCTTTTTTAATATATTCATTAAAGACCTCTGTAACTCGATAAGACATTCCCATTTTCTAATCTTTGCTGATGATCTCAAAATTTTTCGCACCATAGACACTCCACAGGATTGCTTCTTACTTCAAAATGACATTCATCATGTCAGTGACTGGTACTCTGCCAACTCCATGAGCATTAATATCAACAAAACGCGTGTTAATGTCGTACTCAAGGAAGACTAATGTCCTGCTCTATGGGTATCAGCTTTGTCGTACTGCTATTACACGCACCAGTTGCGTTAAGGACCTAGGTGTTTTCTTTGACTCTAAATTATATTTTCACAATCATGATGATTTTTTATATTCTGAATGTATAAAGCTGCTAGGTCTTATACGCTCAATAACTTTTAGATTTTCTTCTCTTGACTGTTTATATGTGCTGTATCTTACACTAGTCAGGTCCAAGTTGGAATATGCCTCGGTAGCTTGGAATTCTATCACGTCTACTGACTCCGCAAAACTTGAGCGCATCCAGAAAAAGTTTGCATCTGTCTGTTTCTATTGCTACTTCCCACATAGCTCCTATAGTTATACATCTGCCTTAGAGAGACTAAGATTGCACCCTCTAAGTCTGCGTAAACATCTTCTTCATTCAGGTTTATCGTGGCCTTAAATCCTGCTCCTCCCTTCTGGATAACGCTAGTCTTCGTGTTCCTACTTGCCATGTTCGAGACTTCTCTACCTTCGTCCCTCAAAAAGACACTATCCCTCTTCTCGGTGCGCCCTTGCTACCAACGTGGTGGGTAAAGATCTCCACATATTTGCAGACGAAGCGGTTTCTCTGAATCATATTGTGACATATTGCGCAACAGAGGAGCCCTACCTCCCCAGCAGAACGTGGCGGTAACGTAGCGCTTGCGTAATAGGCGAGTCATCACCCAACCGCTCTCCCCGCGGTGACGTCACGAGCGGAGCCGAAGTGAGCCGAGCGGAGCCGAAGATAGCCGAGTCCCCGCAACCTGGTAGCTACGCAACGCAAATCAACAGCGATGATGTCACCAAGGGATATTGCGGTCGCTAGGCAACGCGGATAAACAGTGATGCCTACCACGTGATTGTTTTCTCGTTGATCTGCTGAGGGTTTATAAGCAAGCTACCTCCGAGTTAGTTCTCAGTTCGCAAGTTACGAGTTACAGACGCGTGTGCGACAACTAAGAAGTCAGCGAGCGGAAGACTTATCGTGTGCTTTCGATACTTAGTGAGTGCTGTAGTACAGTTATATTTGGAGCGTGTAATTCAGGGAGATTTGTATAGCTCCTGCATTATTAGTACATGAAGACTCTTGAAGAGAGTGTTAAGAGATTTTGTTCTAGGGTTTATAAAGTGTGGAAACCCGTAACATTGTTATCATTAATTGTAGCCGTTCTTGTAGATTGTTGAATAAACCAATTAACGATCTCTACGGCGTATTCAGTAACGAAACATGTTACAATATTTTACAAGCATGTACCAAACCTTTTACGGTGTTACTTGATTAGTGTTTTCATTCACTACAAATGTGTATACCTCGGCTAACTTTAATTTTCTTATGTAATTGGTTTTAATTTATTGACTTGTTATTAATTTTATGCTATCACTCCCAGGTGTCTTTTCTTAGTATTTAGTTACTAACAGTATTAGCAACATACGTAATATTTCATAAATGTATGTATATATTTCAATCTTCTTTAGATTTATGTTCACAGATTTGTCATATTTGTATTTTGTTTTAATTATTTTCAGTACCTTATATACTCATGCTAACTTTGTAATTGGCCACTGTGCTGTTAAGTTATTGCACGTAAATAAACATGAATTGAATTGAACTGAATTGAATTATTATTTGGAGGGGGTGGGTTTCCCCATGCACTGCGACCATTTGTTGACCTACTGTCCCATTTTAATTATTCTAACTAGTCGCCATGCCCTTCCAGTACTGGTGCTCGCTATGAGCCCCGTTCTGCCAGCGAGGTCCTCTCTGGTAGTAGTCCCCGATACTTCCCCATCTACCAGAGGAATTGGAAACTACTTGGGCGGGAAACTTTTTGCCTAATTTTGCTCAGAGGTCTCCTAGAGACATCAGGATCTTTTACGTGCCATAAATCTACAACACGGGACATGTGCCTCCCTCCCTCCCTCCCGGAGGACTTGTTCCCTGAATTTTTCCGCCCTTAAAAATTCCACGACCTCCGCCGGGTTTCAACCCGCGTACCTTGAGTCATGAGGTGGAAACATTACCCCTAGACTATGGAGGCCCCTAAGAAATTAACTTAATAAGGTATTAATGTCTAGTTGATGAATTGTACATGTTGGGTAAATTATTGAATTGTATAATTATGGTTCCTTTTATGAATGTGGCTGTCAGAGGACTAGTTTCTGTTCTGAGAACTAATGTATGTAAATTGTGACATGTTCTATATCTGATGGCTTTGGTAGTCACTAAGGATCTATGAAAATGAAAATAAAGATACAAGATACAAGTCCTCCTTTCCACATTTCTCAGTGTAGTAAACATAATAATTCAACATATCTGACTCAATCTTCTACAGAATTCAATTACATCTTACTGAAACCATCAAAATAATTTTGTGTGTCTGGGTTTGCAGGTTATAATATTACAGTTGTGTTTCAAAAGCCACAGTACCACACCTGTACAAAATTCTGTATAATATGTCACTTGTAGCACTTCAAAACCAGGTGCACACTACTGGCTACCATTTACTACAAATCAATCAGCTTTTATGCTGATCTCTCACTGGTCACAATGAGACTCTCCTCCATTACCTGGACATCATTCTATAATGCTTACTAATCCTTCCAGCCGCACTATGGCCATGGGGTCAACTCAGCCTCTAACAGAATTGAGTACCAGGAATCTTCCTGGGGGGTAAAGGCTGACAACATTACTGCCATCTGTGAGCTGACAGTCTAGAGAAAATGTGGGAGCCTCGACCTCTCACAACCCCATGGGCCTCCACAGCCTGTTAAAGGGATAGTTTTGCCCCCCTCCCTTTTTTTTTTGCCTTACTGGCCATAACAAAGAAACAATATGGTCAAAATATGAACTTTTCCATCTTCTGGGCAACTTCCAATAGTGTTTGCAATTACACATAGTAAACTAATCACTCACTGGTCAAAACTAGATTCTTTTCCATTTGGCAATCTACAGATGTAACATATAAAGGTTAAAAAAAACGTAAAGCTGTCCCTGTGCTTAACTAATTAAGCACTATGCCATGAAGGCATATGAGGAGGGGATGTACAGATCCAAATTTTCTTGACCTCAGCACTAGTTGGAGGTGAGAGGTCAGCTTCATGCACTGGCCGCTTTAACTCCCAGGAAAAAGCCCCCAGTATTCATTGTATAGGAAGTTGGGTGGACCCCAGAGCTGGTCTGGACGACATGGAGAAGAGAAAACTCTTGACCTTACCAGGATTTAAACTCCAACTCCTCTGTCCTCCAGCCTGTAGCCAGTTGCTATAACGACTGAGCTAGCCTGGCTCCCCTATCTATCAAGACTAACATACTTTTTTCTATGGAGCTTATGTTATTTGAATTTGAATTTATTTATGTTCTGTATACCCAAGTACAGGTTGACACCCTAGGATATGGAACAAGCCAGGTACAAATACATAATATCTCTACAATAATAGTTTTGCTTGAATAGTTGGTCTATATTACCATGCTAATTGGATAGAGACAACATAGTCTGCAAACTTGCAGATTAGAAGTGATAATAGTTGCTGTGGTGAAGTTGTGTTTTTGCCTCATATTTATGTTTTGGATGTAAGAATTTAAATTGTACATGCTTTTGCTGTCTACCACAAATAATAGGAGTGACAGTATGTACTGTGACTGAAACGGTAATATTTTTAAGTTTTTAAATTAATCTCTGCAAGAATTTCTGTTGGATTTGTTAGAACAAAATGAACACTTACCCAATGCTAAGGAGAAGCCCATTCGAATGGTCTGACTATTTGCTGCCAACTGTTCTGTATAGGTGGCAATCACTGCATCATGCCTGGCAGTATTTACTCCATGAGAATGTTCTTGTTGATAATACTGGGTGAAAAAAGGGGACAACGCTGATGCGGCTTTGGAGCGAATGTTGCTAACCTCATGAGACAAGCACTCATCCAGTAGTGACTGCCAATCACCTGTTTCAAACATGACATTTCACTGTCATAACTGAAAGGGGAGTGTCATTTGAGAGAAGACAAAATAAGAACATCTCATATTTTACACAAAAATCAATTTGTCCATAAATTAATTTATGGATCTCATCTCTTCATAATGTCTCCTATAGAAAATCTATAAGCATTTCAATTTATAACCATATCTAAAGATCAAAACTTCTCCCATCTTCTCAGTGAAGTTATGCACATTAAAGTGAAGATTACTTTATATCTCTTCATGAAAATATTGTACTTGTCTTATGACATCATTTACTTTTGCCTCAAAGTTAGGTTTAACTTCAGGATCATCACTCATTATGGTACCTCTAGTCTGCCAAAATCAATAAAAAATGGTCAAAATTTAATTACTGAAGAACACAACATTTTCACCAATTTGCTATTTTATGAACTCTCACTTCAATGAATATAGATATTTTCAAAGTTCATTAAAGGTTACTGAAATAATAAACAATAAATAAATAAACAAACAACAGTGATGGTGGTGATGGTGACATGTTCTGTTCTGTTGAAGAAACAGGTGGTCAAAATTTAACTGTATCAAGATGAAGTCTCTAGGCTTGTTTTGTTTCTGTTCTATCTAGTTATAATGATGAAAAACTATGCAAGTTTTCAGGTATTGCACTGGGCGGAAATAATAAAAATGGTTGGCACTTTGACATGTTGTGATACCCAGGAAACAGAACAGTGAATATTAAGTTTTGTAAAGTACATCTGTTTGGATTAACCCTTTTCTCATTTCAATTATAACACTAGTGTGTCATCCTATCAGCCTGATTTTATTCCAGGTCCTTCAATTTTAAATGACATATACAGAAAATACAAGCATAAAAGTTGTAATTAAAACTGTGAAATTATAGGTCCCATTTAATATTTAAGGTCATATCTTACACTTTTTAGGTCATATTTGACGTAATTTGGGGTCATAAGTGCATGCATACACGAGGGTAAGTCAATAAGTAAGTTACAAATGGATATAGAACTTAAACAAATAAGAGTACTGATTTGAAAAATGCTTTTATTTCTCAACGTAATCTCCCTGTACATTGAGGGACTTGTCCCATCGTTTCACAAGCCCCTTAAAACCAGCAGCATAAAATTCTTTGGGCTGCTGTGGGAACCAGGAGGTAACTTCCCTTTCTACAGCTTCACTGTTGGGAAAATGTTCAGCTGAAAGATGATGTTTAAGAGGGCCGAACAAATGGAAGTCGCTTGAAGCAAGGTCAGGGCTATATGGAGGATGCTCAAGGACTTTCCACTTGAAATTTCACAGCATCTCATTTGTCTTGTTGGAAGTATGGGGACACACGTCATGCAAGAGCAACACGCCTTTGGTGAGGAGTCCTGATCCGCTTCCATTGAATGGCCTTATGAAGTTTTCTGAGGATGTTACAGTATGAGTCAGCATTTACGTAGTTTATGCTGCTGGTTTTCAGGGGCTTGTGAAACGATGGGACAAGTGCCTCAATGTACAGGGAGATTACGTTGAGAAATAAAAGCATTTTTCAAATCAGTACTCTTATTTGTTTAGGTTCTATATCCATCTGTAACTTACTTATTGACTTACCCTCATATTTATGGTTTTTAGATCATAAAAATCCGGGGCCTACTTCCCATGATGGCCACCAGACGTTTCAAGTCCACCATGAGAATCCATCACACATGTTCCCATCCAATGATGCACAATTCAATCCAATCCCACTTCTGACACCAGCTGTCATGTGTTAGCAACTAGATGCGGGGTTTGAATTGATAACCTGTTTTACCAGATCCTTATAACGCATAACTACAAATGGCTGTAAGAGTCTCACTAATTTATACACACTATAAATTACTACAACTGTAGCACACACAAAGTCTTCTGTTGTCATTCTGTCATCAGCAGTAGTTGCTAGAAAGTGGCTACTACAAACAGAGGTTCCTAACAGCCAACCAGAAACTGCCACTGCTCACTTGCAATTCATGAATGCTAACTGCTAACTCCGACCTCCAACTGACTAACTTTTCCTGTTGGTCTTTCTATATAGGCTAGGTGCTGACCACACAGAAAACACCACATCCATTAGTTCCTATACTGTTGTGTGTTGATCTGTTGCTGTAGAAACATGTTTCTGGCACCACTGCGAAGCGATGGCTGCCTTTTGTTCCACTACTCTGGCTTTCAACTGTCATGTCAATAATTTTTCTTGGCATATCTTCTTCATTACTGAGGTATGAGAACTGTGTAATTTGTTCATACATGGTGCAATCCAAAAGTTCCTGAAATATATTAATAAAAACTATTACATCTTACCTAGATCTTATTCTGCACCATCACCTTCAAAGTAATCCCCTTGGGAGCGCATACACCGATCCCAGCGTTTCTGCCACTTTTCAAATGCATCCTGGAAGTCTTTCTTTGTTAGGGTGTTTAGTACCGTCTGCGTTTCCGCTTGAATTTCCCCAACTGTATCAAATCTTCACCCCTTCAACTTGATTTTCATCTTGGGAAGAGAAAAAAGTCGCATGGAGCTAAGTCTGGTGAGTATGGTGGGGGGGGAACAACTGCCATCTTGTTTTT